CCCCCAGGATGGTGGGCCCAGAGTGGTGGCCCCAGGGTGCTCATCCCCAGGGTGGTGGCCCCAGGGTGGTGGCCCCAAGGGTTCTTGTCCCCAGGGCGGTGTCCTGGGGGTACGTGGCCCCAGCGCTCTTGTCCCCGGCGTGCCCGACCCCACCGACATGTGTCCTCAAGTGCGGGCAACCCCCCGAGCCGTAGCGGAGCCACGTCCCCACGGCTGAGCGCCCCCGTTGGTCATCTGTCCCCGTGGCCGGGTGTCCCCCGGTGAGGGGACCCTGGAGATGGAGTGGGGGTGTCCCACCTGCGCTGACGGTGATGGCTTCCAGGACATGCTCCCGCCAGGAGTGGGTCCCGATGACCATGGCCAGGTTGGTCTTCTTGATCAGCTTGTCCACCGTGTTCTACGGGGACCGGGGAGGTGAGGACGCGTCGTCCCCACGTCCCCCAGTGTGTCCCCCCCCCCACCATGTCCCTCCACCTCTCCCGGTCCCCTGTCCCCACCGGTCACCTTGAAGTCGTAGGACTCCTCGATGATGACCTCCAGTTTGCAGTTCTCCCCCAGGATGGGTTTGCCCATCTCGGCGATGCGCCGGGCCTCCTCCTCCTCCGCCGAGAGCTTACGGTCACCGTCGGCTGCGGGGACACCGCGTGGGGACACCACGTGGGGACACAGCATGGGGACACGGCATGGGCATGGAGACACGGCATGGTCATGGGGACATGGTCATGAGGACATGGCATGGTCATGGGGACATGGCATGGTCATGGGGACATGGTCATGGGGACACAACATGGGGTGTGGGGACACAGCGTGGTCATGAAGACACGACGTGGTCATGGGGACATGACGTGGGGCGTGGGGACATGACGTGGTCATGGGGACGTGGTCATGGGGACATGGCACGGTCATAGGGACACGGTGTGGTCATGAGGACGTGGTTATGGGGACACAGCATGGTCATGAGGACGTGGTCATGGGGACGTGGCATGGGCATGGGGACACGGCATGAGGACACAGCAAGGTCATGGGGACATGGTCATGAGGACATGGCATGGTCATGGGGACATCGCATGGTCATGGGGACATGGTCATGGGGACACGACGTGGGGCGTGGGGACATGACATGGTCATGGGGACGTGGTCATGGGGACATGACGTGGTCATGGGGACGTGGTCATGGGAACATGGCACGGTCATAGGGACACGGTGTGGTCATGAGGACGTGGTTATGGGGACACAGCATGGTCATGAGGACGTGGTCATGGGGACGTGGCATGGGCATGGGGACACGGCATGAGGACACAGCAAGGTCATGGGGACATGGTCATGAGGACATGGCATGGTCATGGGGACATCGCATGGTCATGGGGACATGGTCATGGGGACACGACGTGGGGCGTGGGGACATGACATGGTCATGGGGACGTGGTCATGGGGACATGGCACGGTCATAGGGACACGGCATGGTCATGAGGACATGGTCATAGGGACACGGTGTGGTCATGAGGACGTGGTTATGGGGACACAGCATGGTCATGAGGACGTGGTCATGGGGACGTGGTCATGGGGACATGGCA